TTCCTACTTCTCGGTCTCTCAGCAGTTGCTGAATAAAATATGTTATATCTCGTCCTGCGATTGGAATGTGTTTAATACAGCTGCCAATCACATACCCTTCGGCCTAGGTGAAGAGCAAAAAGGTGTCAAGTTTACTTTCAGCATCTTGAAATTATTACCTAAAAAATTAACCATTAAAGATCAACTTCTCAAGTGAGTTTTCTCAAAAATTGCTTTATCATCTTCATCTCTATTCCTAAAATGCACTTATACTGTATTTATCAAAGAATTTAGAATACTATATAGAAATTATAAAGAAAAATGGTTAGCAACTTAGATTTATTCTCCCATTGACAGTAGTATGTACTATGACTGAAGTGAGTAAACATTTAAATTTCAGAAGTATGAAATGGCTTAGATAGCAGACTTTATATCACATAAACATTATCTTTACATCTTTCATAATTTCAGGGGAAAAAATTTAAATTGTATTGTAAAAAAAACTTGATTTTAGCCCACGAAGTGGTACCTGTTCTCCTAATGGAGTACTCAATTCACAAGACTGAGACATTCCAACTACTACCACAATGACAAACCAACTACATTTTACAGAACTGATACATAAATTTAGTGGTATCACACAGAAGCTTAGCAAATAAGATAGATAGGAAGAATGACGGGGTTGGGCAGGGGGAGAGAGCGAGCTTGATAGAGGAGTGTATCATTTATCTGACTACTAGTCAGTATATTCATGTGAGGAAACCTTCAAGGCCAAAGAAATAACTTCTAGAAAGGAACCGAAGAACAAACTACAAAGCTCACACATGGTTAGAAATAGTTCATGTTCCCACTAGCCACAATAATATATATTCTCATTCATAGCACATCAAGCAGCCTTCAGAGTATTGTTGTAATCATAGGGACAAAAACCAGTGTAGACAATGTCTATTCTGGATCTGCTTAACAATTATTGAAAAGAATCCCTGGCAGGACTAAACTGATTCCTAGTAACTTAACTGTGTCCCAGGGAAAAAAAAAAGAAATGAAATATTTAAGGCTCCAAAACTCTAAGATGTAACAATGTGAAAATAAAGTACACATTTACAAATTAAAAGTATGCACGAAAGTGGGGAAAACACAAGCTTTCAATGATAGCTATTGAAAAGCTAATTATAGCCTTTCAATAGAGTGAAAGGCTAATGATATAATTAGTAAACAATGTTATTAAAAGAGCTAGTATATGCTCTGTATGATCAAGAAAGTCAAGGGAGAGATGAGCATGAGAAAGAAAAAAAGGGAAAACATAAGACTCAAATAGAACTTCTAAGGAGAAAAATATATGAAATAAAAAATACATTACATAAGATAACCATAAACTAGATAATGAAAAAATAATTTCAGGACATAGTAATAACTATCCAAGATAATATAGAAAAAAATTAGGAAAAACTGAATACAACATTAGACTGCATAGAGCTGAAGCCCTCTAATATATGGAGGAACAGAAGAAATAATGAAATTTTCCCAATATGAGTTAGGTACAATGGCACATGCCTGTCATCCCATCTACTTAGGAGGCTGAGCAACAAGAAGAATAGCACAGGAACAATTACTTTAGTTACTAAGAAAAAAAAAAGAGAGATGACAATTAAACTATGAAAACTACTAAATGAACAAGTGTTGGACACAATCTAGTAACCAAGATATTAAAATATACCCCAAAGGCTAAACAAAATGTGATATATCCATGGTGTAAAATGTTACTTGGCAATAAAATGAAATGGGGGGGGCGGGTAGAGAAGAGAAAGAAATAGTAGTTACTACTAAACAGGAGGGTAGAAAAAGTGGGACTAGAAATCTAATCCAAAGGTAGGCATTCTGAGAAAGTTATCTTCAACAGTTTGCCTAATGAATTAAAAACAGGAATGAAAATATGAATAAAATTGAAAATGATTTCATTGCTTAAATGCTTTAAAAAGATAAAAGTTTATATATACATATATGTGTGTATCTTCCCCATATAATGATCAGTATCAGTATGAAAGCTACTTATCATTTTTAATCCATCAGGCATAATTAAAATTAAAAAAAAAAAAACCTAACTTGTCATTAACAACTGGAACCATAAAGACCTTGGTGGAAAAATGTTATTCTGACAAATAACCTAAATCTAATGGATTTTTCTTAATATGCTTTACTAAATACAAGCTATAAAACACAATCAGGCCAGGTGCCAGTAGCTCATGCCTGTCATCCTAGTTACTTGGGAGGCAGAGATCAGGATGATCATGGTTCGAACCCAACTCAGGCAAATAGTTTGGGACCCTATCTTGAAGAAAAAAAAAAAAAAACCCCTTCACAAAAAATAGGGCTGGTGTAGTAGCTCAAGGGTGTAGGCCCTGAATTCAAGCTCCAGTACCACAAAAAAAATAAATAAATAAAGACATGAAAGTCATGGACGTTTATGTACTATACAGTTAACACACTATAGCAAAATTCCGGTAGTTACATGGTACAGTAAATCTATGCACCACTTTGAGATCAACTGGCACACACCCACGCCCACATAAAAACATATACAACTAACTGGAAAAGAGAATTCCATATTTAAGGAAAAACGTCATAATGTATTTCCATTCCAGAATTCCAGATACAAATTACAATTTTCCTAATCAAAGCATGAACCTACAACAAAAGAAATTATCTAAAATTTTAATAATTTTGAGCCAAATTACAAAAAAAAAACCGCAAGACATAATAAAAGTTTTAAAAAAGGTGGTATTAATTCACATAGTTTAACTTTTGTTACTTCAATTCTGCTTAGTGTTTTTAAATATCCTTACCACAGGAATGACATGAGTGACACCATCTCCGCTGTCTATTACTGTACCAGTCAATGTCCGTTCCCCTACTTGTCTTGAGGTCCAGGATGCAGCTAAGGCAAGAACAGCCTTGAACAAAAAGAAATAAGATGGGCAAAAAATAAAAACAAATAGTTACAAGAAAAAAATAGTATATGGAGTATTTATTCAATTTTAAATGTAGAATCTGTGGGGAAAAAACATACAAAATTAATTTTGCATTATGCAACAAAACTGCTTATATTTTAATAAGAGAAACTTATAGATTTGTTCTGCATATTTTTAAACTTTACAGATTTTAGGAGCATTTTTGTCCCAAAGCCAAAAACATAAAGAATAGAACATGAAATACTACAGTACTAAATTGCCAGAACTTAAAATATATTCACATGGGCTGGCCTGTAACAAACCACAAAAGTAAAAAGGACTCCCAACTACCAGAGTTAGTCAATAAGCAATCACCATTCTTTAAAACATCACATTCAATTTTTCAAATGCAACATGCATTTAGAACTATGAACAAGTTGTTTAACTGAAAAGGTCATTGAACACTTTGGAATACTATGACTTAATTAGGAGAAATCTTGGCATAGCCAATACAATACTACACAATTCTTTTCTAAAAAATTAACATGGTATATTTTTTTAATATCTACTTTTGGGGAGAGGGTGCAGTACTGGGGTCTGAATTCAGGGCCTCACATTTGCTAGACAGGTGCTCTACCACTTGGGGCACACTCCTAACCCCTCACAATTCACATTTTAAAATCGAACTTTTTACAATCCAAGACTCAAGCAATATATATGACTAACAACTAAAAATGAAGATAAGCAGGCTTTATTTACTTGCAATATAATAGCTAAAAGGAACCTCAAAGGATATCTAGTCCACCTTCCTATTTTAAAAAACCATTTTAACACAATGACCACATAATCAACACAAACTAACAAACCTTGCAATGAAATTTTTCATCCTAACATTAGTAAAAAGAAAATTTAACATGTAGACTTCACTGTGAGATATCCTTCTTTAGATAAATTCAAAACTACTCATTACTGCAACTGGGAACTATCTTTTATAAATAGTTAAGATCCCCAACTAGAATAGGTTTATAATATTAGCACATTATGTTTTGGAAGTTTTACTGACTCCTGAACATCAAAGAAACAGAACACAGACCAAATGAATGTGTTAAAAGTATCGAGAAGCTGGGTGTGATGGTACACACCTCTAATCCAAGCACTCAGGAGGCTGAGGCAGGAGGACTTCAAGTTCAAAGCCAGTTTAAGCTACATATAGCAAGTTTCATGCCGTCTGGGTTACATGGCAAGATCTTGTCTCAGAAAAAAAACAAAGGCACTCAGAGACACTAAGGAAAAAAAAATCATTATAATATCAAATTATGGCTTCAGAAGAATGAGAAAAAACTCTTATTGTGCTCATACATGATATAAATGAAATTCTGTTAAATATATTGGACTTAAATATGAAGGTGAGAAGCAAAGATTCCCAAATAAAAATAGAGGAATTCCCTCTAACCTCTTGCTTTACTTAGATTCCAAGAACAAAAAAGGACCTCCAGTTCAAGATTGAATTCCTTTCCATAAAGCTCCTGATAAGGTATATCAACTTAAATATTTTTAGCAATAGTTTTAAAGGAAGCTCCATAAATTACAGGTTTTATTAAACATTAAAAAGTTTTTGTTGTCCAAGCTAAATAATTCCTCAAAATTATCATTTACTGGTACTGCCTACTCAGAAGTTATAAAAACTCAGTTTGATGTAACAACCACCTAACTTTGAATAAGCTGCCTTTTCCTGCACCCCATCTTGTAAAAAATAGATACACAAGGCAGAGGGCATGGCTAGTAGTAGTACAACACTTGCCTAGCAAGCACAAGGTCCTGAGTTCAAACCCCAGTACAGACAGAAAGAAAAAATGAATATTTCAGATATTTATGATATGCAAGATACAGAAGAACACAATAAATGGATGGTCAAATATAGCTATAGATAAGTCTACGAAAACAGATTATGATAAAAGGACAAAAAAAAAGTTTCAAAAATAAATGAATTTTAAACATCTGCAGATAGAGTAAGTATCGGATAAATATTACTTTCCTGCCAGGTGCCTGTGGCTCATGCCTACAATGCTAACTACTTGGGAGGAAGAGATCAGGAGGATCATGGTTCAAGCCCAGCCTAGGCAAATAGATTAGGAAACTCCATCTTGAAAATACTCAACACACAAAAGAAAAGGCAGCTGACAGAGCGACTCAAGCAGCAAAGTGCCTGCCTAGCAAGCGCAAGGCCCTGAGTTCAAGTAAGAAAACAGTTTCCTTATTTCTATCCTATGGAAGCCTTTCAAATATTCAAAGACCAATAACTTACTTTTGTTGACAACTGCCTTTTTCTGGCTAAATATCTCCCTTTCCTATAATATTTATCAATTCACTAAAGAACTGATATGCTTTTAAGTTATGCTTAAGTCCTCATTTAAAAAAAAAAGAGCAAAATGATATATTCTAGGAGCAAATTAAACCTGATTAAAATGCAAAAGTCAAGCTTAACACGTAGGACTTGCTTACCTGCACAGCAATATACAAGCCGGGAACATTGAATGACTCAAACATTATTTCAGCAGTATATTCCCTGTTTTCCGGAGTATTCAGTGGAGGTTCAGTCTGTTGAATTGAGTAATATTTCAAATAGACAATACCAGATCATTTTCACAACTTTACAGGCAATTTCTAAACAAAAAATAATTTATTCCAAAGGCAGTATTTAAAGGCATTAAATTTACAGGTAAAAAGATAGATACAAATACCAAAAGAAAATTACAGAGAATTCAAACAGATCTAAACATACATGCAGGTAATATAATTATTCACATAAAAAAAGAAACTGAAATCTTGTACCACATACTCAAATGGCTTAAACATTAAGAAAGAATATGGGGAGGGAGAGTGAGAGAGGGAGGGAGGAGAGAGGGACGCCGGGAGGGAGGGAGGAAGGAAGGGAGAAAGGAAGGAAGGAAGGAAGGGAGTATCACAAGTTTTCACCTTTTTTTTTCTGAACATTACTATTACGCTTTCAATGTAAAGATCAACTGACAGGCTTTCAAGAGGTGATTGAATCCTGAAGAATCTACTTCATCACTAAATTAGTACACTAATGAATTCATACATGAATGGAATCCATTCCACTCATGTTAGGGCCTGTCTGAAGGAAGATTACCAGGGGCATATGTTTAAAAGGTATATATTGTACTTAGACCTTCCTCTTGTCTCTTTCTGCCTTCTGTCTGCCAGGAGGTGAGCCACTTTGCCTTACCACGTTTTCCACCATGATGTTTTTTCACACCACACACGGGCCCAGAAGTTAACAGAGTCACATGACCATGGACTGAAACCTCTGAAGCCCTGAGTCAAAATAAAGTCTCCCCTCCTTAAATTATTTTCTCAACTATTTTGTCACAGTGAGGAAAAACAATTATCTACTGCTCCTGTCATAAGGATTACATATTAATCATCAAAAACATTTACTTTGGCCATACTACTACTATAGAAGGTCTTAAAGATGACAGAGCTTTATATAACAAAGTCTTTCATACACATGACAATTGACAATTTAATACATGATAAGGTATATTCAGGTGTGATAAAAAATGTTCTCCTTACATTTCTTCAAAATTTTTCCCAGTAGGCTAGGTATGGCCTATTAGAACTTAGGAGGCTGGGCCAGGAGGATCTTAAGTTCAAGGCCAGCCTGGGCTACATAGCAAGTTGCAGGCCAGCCTGGGTTAAAAGCTACACCATATATAGTAAAAATTTAAAAAAAGTTACCATAAAATTATAATTTGGACTTACCAAAAGAAAATAATGGTCTTCAGGTTCTGCCCTTAAATATTTAAAGATCACTTGCTCCATAAACCTTTCCATCAAGTCCCAATCTTCAACTATACC